ACAAACGCTCTGTCCCGGTGAAAATGTTCCACTGGAAGTTAACCAACAAAAACTGTGGAATATTCCATTGGTACGGGGCGTGCAGAAAGATTTGTTTTATAATTTCCATGATGACCAAGATAAGGCACGCCCTCTAGCTGTTTCGACTAAGGAATCTAGTCACTGGTTACACGCTTTACCATAAAGTAATCTCGGCACATTACTTGATGGGGAAAGCTTGCGTGTCACCGTAGGAATCCGACTAGGGGCGGCGCTTGGTCAACCCAATCAGTGCCCCTGTGGTAGCAGCGTCGACAAGTTTGGGCTCCACGGACTTTCATGTAAGAAAAGCGCTGGTAGGTTTTCACGACACAGTTCTTTGAATGATGTCATCCGAAGGGCTCTTGTCTCTATAAATGTTCCCTCGGTTTTAGAGCCTTGTGAAATATAACGCAGAAAGCGTTCTTGGCACGATACCGCGGGGAGGAGGACTATATGATAATTAAGTTTCTAGTTTTAGTTTTTTTTTTATTATTATAGTTTTAATATTGTATATAATTAATTTTAAGATGTATTTATTCCTAAAAATAAATGCAAGTTAACATCATCTTCTTTAAAATTACATTAGTATTTAATTTTTGATTTGGAGTCATAAATTTCATACATTTCGTTTTAGTTCCATTTAAATGCAAATTATCATCATTAAACCAGTTTACTAATTTAGATATAGCATTATTTATTTCGTCATATTAACATTAGATCAAGAATATTTTTTTCAAAAGTCTTACTAAGTGTTGGTAGTACAGAAATAAGTTTAAAATTGGTGCGGTCTAATGTACTACCAGATTTAAATAACGCTATTACTTTACTATGCTTCATTAAATCAGGAAACACATCATATTCGATACTAGTATTAAGAATAATAGCTAGTTGAGGCGCGATTATATCTATTATATATACCCAATAACTTTAACAAAAGTCCCCCATAGATCTGCAGTTTTCTTAATATCAATATTATTAAAATATTATATATAATATTAATATATAAAATATATAATATTTATAATATTATATATTTTGATGATATTTTATGAAATACAAAATTCTTTGTACACACATTTAAATTTTGTTTAAGTAATGATTCGGCGATAGCAAGAGAAGAATTTAGTGACTTAGTGGTTAAGATCGGAATATTCTTCTTCACGCGGGTTGATTTCTGAATGTCGATAACAGTGCCAGCTACCGAGTCCAATTATAAATCTACGCCATCAAGGGACACCCTCAAATGCACAAAAAAATTATATCAAAGTCGTTCGAGCCGTTTTCGAGTTTTAGCGAGACTAACGGACAGCAATTGATTTTTATACTTAGAAATTACAATATCGCACCTAATATATTACAAAATTTGACTTGCAATATCTATCACGTGATGATGTTTTGTGTTGTATAAGCGATAGTTAAATATAAGTCACATAAGTACAGTCTAGTTTTTGTAGACAATATCTTGTGATCTCTTCTTGCCAGTTTTAACCAAGTATTTCTCATATTTAAATCGTATTTTTGCATTCAAATACAACACACCAATGATAAAGATGATAACTCATTATTAAACATCAAAAAATATGTTATTCCTTTGCAAAATCGTTTTGTTTACTAGAGCAGTGACGTCACGAACTGAACAGCATGGTGGCTAGCATTTTCGCGCGAAAATTTAAAACGATAGATTAAAAGTAATTTTTATGGCACTATTCAGTTTAAAAAAATATATAAAAGTTATAGTGGATCATTATCACTTAAGGATTCATTTTAAACACTATTTCAAAATGGGTGTAATACGCCATTGTCTTATGGATTACGTGAATACTTTGAAAGAAACGATACCATGTATGTAATAAATAGTAATACATAACACATATGCCGATACTAGTAATAAATAAAAAGTATAATTACTTTTGAGTATCTAGTCTAATTTGACACGAAGCTCGTAATCGCTTAACATCAATAGGCGTCATGGCTTGCTGTCGTTTTCATGTAAGTAATTAAGAAAAAACATGAAAAACCTCATCAAGTAACTTCTATTAAATTCAATATTTGAACAAATCAACTTTATTAACATTGATATATTAATAATTAAGATTATATATGCATTGTTATAGCCATTTATTTAATATATAAAACTAAAAAATTCTGTAAAACTGAAAGGAATAAAAATGCAAATGTAAGAATTTACGTAGAAACGCGGCTCTTTGCCAATTCGAGTATACTCAACATCTTCTATGGCTTATTTTTATTGGTGAAAATACCAATGATTTTATACATTGAATTAATTAAACGAAAAATGAATAATTAATAAGACAAAACATGACAATAAAATATATACAGGGTTGTTTTTAAAGAGTAGCCAAATTTTAAAATTAAGTTCAAATATTATATAAATAGTGATACTTAGGTTACTCCATAAGTTTTGAAATGCTCAAAATTTAAAAAAAAATATTTTTCTTCTTGACCAGGCTATAAAAGTCCACTGCTGGATATGCCTCTCCTAGGCGCCTCCTTAAAACTTTGACTTTATCGTTACGCTTAGCAGGTGTCACCAGTCCGAATTATTTCATATATCATCCGGAAACCATAAGGTTTTTCTGACATTTGCAGTAGTCACCTCTTAGGACATCTATAGGACGAAATGCTCTAATAGACACTTTTGCGCCGCCATCACTCGGTCCATATTATTATATTGATTAATTTTAAGATTGATGATGATTATTATTGTTGGTTATGACCCCTGAGGACTAAGATGGAATACCTCGTTTCCAGTAAAAAGGGTCTCTGGTTCTCTAAACTCACCACACGATACACAAAAGCGTTAAACTGCTATTTTACACTGGTATTCCATAAAAAGCTGGCAAGACTTCAGATTATTTTGGATCTATAATATTTTACTTTGGATTTAGCTTCGTCCACAGTAACGATCCATTTTATTATAATATCTGAAATTATTATATGCGAAGTATATTTTATAAAACTGAAGTGACAAATGAGTTTACAATCCACCTGATGGTAAATGGCTCCAGTCGTCCATATACACCTCCGTATACCTCCAGCCAAGGTCACACATAGACTAAGACGGAATGCCTGACAGTTTTAAGTATACTGACTCTGTATATTCTTCAGATCAGAATACGGCAGTGCAAGTACTGACCTTTTACCTACCTAGAAGGACCTGATAATGGGTGCATTTATTTTAAAGCACTGGTTCTACTACTAACTAGTTCGACAACTTATTAATGATATCCATCTATCCATCCATCAGAGCCTATAAAAATCCACTGCTGAACGGCCTATGTTTCCCACATAGATTGCTTCGTTTTGCCATATTTGCCACGCTTGAAAAGCGAGTTGGTAGTGGATATTCTTACATCGCTACTACAAGGTTAATAATATAATATAAACTAAGTTTAAGCAGATTGTAAGCTGTATGTCAAGAATTTTGTTTTATAAATAGTTTATTCGTGTAAATTTTATATTTTAAAGGTCGCATGCAAAACAGAATGCACTATGCTCAATGACCTCAATAGTGTTTCCCAACGGATAGGTCTTAAGATGAACATGGACAAAACAAAGATTATGTTTAATGTCCATGTCACACCTATGCCGGTAGTTGTTGGGAGCACTAAGCTCGAAGTTGTTGACGAGTATGTTTACCTGGGACAAATAGTCCGACTAGGTAAGTCCAACTTCGACCGAGAGGTCAATCGACGGATTCAACTCGGCTGGGTAGCGTTCGGGAAGCTACAACACATCTTCTCGTCAGACATACCTCAAATCCTTAAAACGAAATTGTACAACCAGTGCGTGTTGCCAGTGATGACTTACGGAACTGAGACGTGGTCCTTCACTGCTGGCCGTATGAGGAAGCTCAAGGTCGCTCAGCGAGCTATGGAGAGGGCTATGCTCGGAGTTTCTCTGCGTGATAAACTTAGGAATGAGGATATCCGCAGTAGAACCAGAATAACCGACATAGCCCAACGAATTAGTAAGCTGAAGTGGCAGTGGGCCGGCCATATAGCTCGAAGAACCGACAACCGATGGGGAAGAAAGGTTCTCGAGTGGCAACCTCGTACCGGTAGGCGAAGTGTAGGGCGTCCCCCCACGAGATGGAGTGACGACCTGGTAAGACATGCAGGAAGTCGATGGATGCAGGTGGCTCAGGACCGTGCTTTGTGGCATTCTTTGGGGGAGGCCTATGTTCAGCAGTGGACTTGTGAAGGGCTGTAATGATGATGATGATGATGCAAAACAGAAACGTTTTTTTTTTTAATATAAAGACCTGGCATATATGAGAACAAACAGAACCTTCCACATTTTTCTCTAAAGAAATCCAAAAATGTATAATATTTAACATTTACTCATTGGGTATCTTGGGAAAATCTTCCATTAATTCTGCCACGTGGCTTCCTTATTACACCATTGATTACCGATCCCCGCTGCGAGTTGACCCGCTACAGGCGGTCGAAAAGATAAATAGGTTGTTTTAAATGAAAATAACGTCAACATATAAAACCTTTATTTATATAAAATTTCGATTGATAAATTAGCCAAAGTTTCTCTTTGTTAACAAATATTTTGACTTTGCTAAATCAACATTTTAATCACAAAACAAAACTGATCTTTATTAATAAAATTCAAAATAAAACTTAATATAAGCAAATATATCACAGATTGTCATGTTTTTTTTCCTTTTAAGTGGCTTAAAAACTTAGGTAATCACGATTTAATTTTTTTTTTAATTTATAATCTAAATATAACCAAATAATTAGTTTGTAAATAGAATAGAAAGGATGAAAATCAAAAATATAAAAGAAACCTTTTATGAACAATAAAACAAATACTTAAATTCAAGAGATAATGTGAAATAAGAAATTATTTGTGTTCATTTAACTCTCGTATTTCCCACGAGACTTTACTCATTTTCTCGTTTCATGAAATTAGATTCAACTTATGTCCACGCTTTTAATATGTATCTACTTTAAGAAGAAGAGGGTCAAGAAAACCAGTAAACCTTTGCAAGCCGTTGCAATCGTACCACCTGAGAATAAAAAAGTTATAGCATTTTAAACAATGTAAAATTTATAAATTTAGAAGAATACAATATGGTATATACAATATGTAACAAAAACCCTGTTGTTCCCGTTAAGTACGTTATCAGGATCATTATTCAAACGTATAAAAATATTTTTTTTAAAAACACGAACAATATTTTTTTAATTTTGTTTAAAAAAAATTGTATGCAAATTGTATGTGGTTTTATTACCTCTGCATTGTCTGGGGAGTAAGCGGATTCTCAAAGATCCCGCTTTAATTAGCTTTAGCATCGGCTAGTGTCAGTAAGAGGTAATAAAACCACATAAAATAAAAAAAATGGTCAAGTTTATAAAAAAAAAAAGTTATTTCTATAGGTTTGAATACCAATCCTCATAACGTACTTAACGGGAACCACAGGGTTTTTGTTACATGTTGTATAGACATGTAGAAGGCGTGAGTTAAATGACATTTTATTTTATCTACATGTTTGTGTCAAAGATATATTTTCTACGAAGTATATTATAATATCTTCTTTGGTTTGTTTGTTTAAATATGTTAGTATCTAAAAGCTTTAAAAAATATTTTGTACATTAATTATCTTGATATTGAATACAAATTTATTTAACTTATAATTTATTTCATTTATTTTACTTATAATTTCAGAAATAACAAAATTTCCGTAGGTCATGTCTACGGATAAGTTACTCGTAACGTTTTATAATCGCTCTACAGATTAAAAGGCATCGTTTGTCGTTTAATACTAGTTTTAAGCTACTTACTGTTTGATAGGCGTTCTTGTGGCTTATTCACCTCATAAGCGGCAATATATGCAGTAGGCATTAACCCTGAAATTAAACACGGCCATTTTATAATATAATGGTTCAAGACGGTTATAATGTAACTTTTTATGAATATCGTACCAAGCCGGTCTGTTTTGGTTTAGAATTGGAATATTCATGCTTAAAATTAAATTTTTGATCTAAAGTAAGAAAAGCCGGTAATTGAATAACGGTAATGCAATAGCAATAGCTTTAGATAAGTTATATTTTAATTTTATTTAATGAATAGTCATTAAATAAAATTAAAATAAAATTTCGAATATATATAAAATAAGTCTGACGAATAAGCCATACAGTCCACCTGATGGTAAGTGGATGCTGTGACCCATAGACATCTAAATTTATCCTCAATTAAGAATTAAAATGCAGATACGTTGTCACCCCTGAGGACTGAGATGGAATGCCTCGTATCCAGTGAAAAAGGTGCCCGGTTTTCTACACTCACCACACGAAACGCAGCAGCATTAAGCTGCTACTTTACGCTGGTATTTTGTGAGAGCGTGGTCCTACCCCGGTATAGCTGACCCATTCGTGCTGCAACCACAAATAGCTGCAGCATGGCTCCACCACGTAAAATATGTGTATATATATTACATATTATTAGTCAGTGGTATATCGCTTATATATATATATATAAACGCGATATACCAATGACTAACCGTCTCTTTACGAAATCTCTAAAACTACATACCCGATTAACTTGAAATTTAGTATAGTTATTCATTTCGCAATGTAGACGCTCACTAAGATGAAATTTGATGAAAAAAGAAAAAAAATTCTGAAAGGTTCCGCAATAAAATACTATCAGAAAGTATTATATAGTTACAAAAACCTACGTTTTAACATTTTATGAGAAGTACCATTTCGCTGTCCCGTGCGCTACATATAGGATATTGCTGTTGTCTTACTATTGTGTCTGAAAATCGGACAGTGAAAGTGTTAACATTGAGTGATTACATATTCCGTCTTATTACCAAATGTGATTTAATGATAATCTCGGGCTTAAAATACGGTTTAAAAAACACTTTTCTAACTAACAAGTCCCTCAGATTGCGGTGCTACAATCTTCTCGATATTCAACATTCGCTATCGAATTTATTTTACATTGATTTAATCGATCGTTTAAGACCAATTTAACATGGACTGAGCTTTGCTTAAGTAATATAAGGCTGACATTTTTAAAATTGACATGCCATTATCTAAAAAAAAACATATAACCGACATACTACAAACTTTCCATTACAGACCATCAAGTGTCCGCTCGCTACTTCAGTGCATCTTGAAAGAGTTCATATTTCATTGAAATATTTTCCATTTTTTTTCACCGTACGTAACGGGAACTGCAACTAACAATTTCTGTGACGTCACTATCGCAAAGTGAACTCGAGTTGCTCGTCACGTGTTATTAAATTTAACGCGAGCGATACTGCAGGAATAGTACGGCACCAGCGCTGTAGGAGAGGAATTATCTCTAGGTCAGGAGATGTTTGTCATATCCTCTATATGATTCAATCGGGATGATGAAAAAAGTTTGGTATTCTTACCGGGGTAATACACTGTTGTTTTATTACGCGTGTAATTAGCAGGCGGTAAAGACAGCATGCACACAAACTCCTCCATTGGTCTTGCGACATCGTCGTCGTGGACCACAGCCGTTGTGGTAACTGAGTACAGGCCCCATGAATTCATTTTCATTTCCGTTAAAGCTTGTTTTAATGGTACCCTGCGAATGTGTGAAGACTTAGAATTTTTAACACTAATTCATAAAGTTTCAAGATATAATTAGTCAGATTAGTTTAGATTTAGTTAACTAAGAAATAATGCCAAAAGGCAATTAGTCATACATAGCAGTTTAGCATACATGATCGTAAGCTGTTATTTAAAAATGTCCCGCTGGGTATCTTGCTGATTCTTCCCAGGACAGAGGTTTTTTCTCGAACCAGTGGTAATTATGCAAAAGAATGACTTTCTATAAGTATTACTTATAATCTATATTGAATTAAAAAGTTTCTGTTTTTGATCTGTTTCTGTTTCTGTTAGTCCACATCAATCCATCTTAGTCCTTAGGCTTGACAACTCATTCTGTATGTTATTCATAATGTAGGATAAATATAGATGTTTATGGGCCACATTATACACTAAGCAGCAGGTAGACTGTGTGTTTGTTTGTCACCATTATTCTCTTTAAAAAAAACTTAGCCCAACATTCTTATTCATTCTTCTCTATATCCTAACACCACGATCTTTCGTCACTACGGCCGGCGACCATCGAGTTAATTGAACATGTTGTCAAACTCACCCTTTTGACAGAATAGACATGACTGGTTTTGGGTACAAATTTTCTGCAGAACAAATTAATGTCACTAAAAAAACGTATTTCTTTTCTTGGACGAATTCAAAATTTTGTGCTGTACCTGAAACAATTGAGTTATTGATTTTATTAAGTAATTTAGTGAAGTGAGACGTTATCAAAGTATTAGATTTTTATATTATGTATACATATACACACACACATAGACACACACTCACATATATATATACGTAGTACTTAGCCAAAATATAAAAATGTACTGGATTGCGAACTATGGTTTTGTATCTTAAAAATCTTAATCATTCATGAATATAATAAAAATGTTGAAGAATAAAGATGATTTATTATTGCATCATAACAAAAGTGGCACAAGACAGGAATAAAAAAATAAGAATTGATAACTCGACCGTCAAATAAGTCAAATCTTTGCAGAACTACAACCTAACCTTATATTTCTAATGTTAGATAGATGGCAATAAGAAGTTTATAGGCCATACGACACGGTCTTAGTCTAAGTTAGATGAAAGTTAGTTCCATTTTTCTTACTGTAAACGAGCATTGTCCTTGTTTGTCGATCTTCCTCTAAGAACGTTGAAACGACGCATGTGTAGTTACCGCTTAAATCGGTTGTCGGATTCTGTATTTTTATCGCTCTGTGGGCTTGAAGTGGATCATCTGACAAAAAAATGGAAATTTATTATTTAGTAAGATTGTAAGGTTGTAATAAATAGTAAAAGAATTTAAATAACATGATATTGTATAGACAATATAAATTGAAGGATATGACGTGGTGGATATGAAGAGAATACTTTTCTAATATTTTAGTGACAAGTGAGCTTTATAGTCATGATGGCTGATAGTAAGTGGCTACTTGAGACCAAGTAAACACAATACTCCTACAGATAATATGTAAGTATTCATATTATATATCATTTTCGTCACCGCCAAGGCGAAAAAATCTGAACCATAACGAAGCAGGCTATTGAAATACTTCTAACCTACAGTTCTCATTTTGCTCTGTGCCTATATCCAAAAGGGAAGCTGATGATTTAATGATAAATAACGAATATGTAGTATATATATATTGTAAACTTTTTCGACATTTAATTCGAAGTATGTTAGCATCGTTCATTCGCAGCTGGTGCAATTTAATTCACGCCATGTCTATTTTTAAATCTTTTGAATTAAGAATTCCTTTCGTACTGAAACGTAACTCGAAGGCATGCGCTATGTTGCACTGTTGAAGAGCCCGGCAAACTGCGCTAGGAACTAAACCTTTGTAACAAACGAACTAAATTCAAAGAGGAAACATAAAAGTTATCTACATATTCAATTCAGTCTCAATAGTAACAATGCGATTGTAAACATTGTCTTGGTAACTGCCTTTAAAAATACACATAGTCGTTTATTTTTACGATGATTTCCGCATTTTCACGGTATCTTATTACGATCAAAACTTTGCAGTCACAGTTATAGTGCTTCGGTAAAATGGTTAACAAAAATTGAATTGTTAAAAAAATCTGATTACTGTCTGTCACATCACCACTACATCAGAGTGAAACTGGATATCAACCTTATTATTATATATAAAAAATCTTATAATTACACGATTTTTGCGCATTGAGCATAACTATTTTTTTAATTGGTCTGGGCTATAAGTGTCCTCCAGTAACCATAGGTGTATAGAATTTACAACATCGAAAATTATTTTGTCAAAATTGAACGCAATAAAATCCTTAAAATTACTTTTCGATCTTAATTTTTTTTATGGTCTGAATATACATAACTACTCAATTTCCCTTATCTCTCGTTTTATACTTATTAGCGATTATTAAATCAGTGTTAAATTATACGCAAAATATTGAACATATTTTATAGTCCTTTATAAATAAACAGTATTAAAGTAGTAAACTAGTATTATTAACAATTTTTTTACTCTACGTAAATCTTCGAAATATCACGATACGAAGAATTAATACTATATGCAGTATTTATTTTTTTCTTTAATATTTTATAATCTAATATACCTATAAAATTATTATTTGCTTGTTCGTATTTTATACGCTGCCATACCGTCCATCAGATTGTGGTAAAACTTTGTCTAAGTTATCGTACAGTATTTATTTACGGTATTTACGATACATGCGCCACTGCGTGTATTGTACCAACAAATTTATTTGAAAGTTGTATAATATCATTTAACTTCAAAACTCTTCCAAATTTAAAACAAAGTGTACAATTTTTTTGCGGCAGCAACACATCGGGTACCAGCTAATGTGAGATAATGTTCAATGAAAAGCGATACAAAGAAATATTATACCCACTTCTTCAAAGCACCAATAACATTTTGTTTCACAAAATATAAAGTTGGGCATATTGAGGAAACCTCCATCATTAATATACATGTACATTGAATGTTCCTAAGGGTTCCAAAAGTAAGTTTTCCTTACCAATCTTTTGTGATTTTCCATACCATCAAAAGGAAGAATAATAAATACTAGTTTAATGAAACTATATTTTAATCAATCTATGGGGAAGGCTTATGTTTGTGGACTTTAATAGGCTGTAACGGGAAAGGTTTTTTTATCAAAATGACAAAAAAAAGTTTCGTACTCTATTATAGATTTCGACATAGCATTATCAAAAGTTGTTTGCATAGATTAATGATAAGTCATCGCGCGCTCTGACTAGATACCGCTGGCGCTCATGTAAAATGCGCAACAAATAAACATACATAAAACATAAACACTAACGCCTGTCACCCAGAGGTGTAGGCAGAGACTACGGACTTCCATTTGGCGCGATCCTGACACACCTCTCTCGCCTCTTTTACATCCATAAATCTACGCATACACGCTCGTCGGTTAAGGGTACTCCTAATCTGGCCCATTTTTAATGTATCGCCGATTTGGTCGATAAACCTTCGTCTAGGGCGTCCCTTCCCGACCCTGCCGTTCACTTCTGCAACATAAATTTGCTTTGTCACTCTTTCCTCGTTCATTCTTTCTACATGACCAAACCACCGAAGCATTCCTTTCTTAATCCTTGTCACAACGTCATCTTGCAAACCACACTTTTCTGTTATCACACTATTAGAATAAATGCTGTAGAAATGCTTCCTTAAGGAGTATGCTAGGGCTGAATCTGTATGACAGGGTGAGAAATAGTGTGATAAGAGAAAAGTGTGGTTTGCAAGATGACGTTGCTTCTTCTGCCAGAGCCAACTTTCACTACCATACATTAAAGTAGGGACTAACACAGCATTATGAATTACCATACGTGCCTTAGTTGACACATTCTGACTCCTCATAATAGCATGTAGAGCCCCATTCACTCTATTTCCTGTTCGCAACAAATACTACGCCGAAATTGGCGTACCCGAGCCAGTCGCGTTGCAGGCAACGTGTGAGGTCAACGTATCGAATGTTTTTTTAAATTTTAATCATAATCCGAAGTAAAATACCAGTTTACGTATTGAAACTGTGTAAAAATAATACTACAAGAAATAAGAAAGACACTGGAATCACATACTATCATTAAGTATCATACAATTTCGAAATTTTAACATAAAATAACACGAGCCATAAATAAGTCATATCAATGACGCTATTCAGTGCTGCCGCGAATGCAAAAATAAAGTTCCCCGTGGCTGAGATTTTTATACGTGAATTTATTGTAACTATATTTTATAATATAATATATTTAACTTATTATAATATAACCTAATTCTATATTATAAAATGTTTATTTCTGTAGTATTGCTCAAATGACATAATTGCCGTTAAAAACCTATACATAATATACACAAATATATTGATACATTCGTTATTAATAAAGTATTTATTTTTTAGTATTTCTGGAATACATTCATAACTATGAACATAACTACTAAGCCATAGCATAAAATAAGTTTTCCCGTTAATGGGGTAATAGTTAAGCTGCTGGCATATACAATTTTTCACGCACACTAGCATCATGCAAATTGTCTTATACACACTACTATATTAAGATGCCGCAGTCATGGAGCTGTTAGCGCGCGATGACTTATCATTAATCTATGGTTGTTTGTTATTATTCACAGACTGCCAGCGTTAGAGAATCTGTTACTCCATTTCGTACCATGGGTGTCACAAGAGGCCATGAAGTTATGCCAAAAAGATCTTATAGCTTAAGGTAAATTGCGGTATAAACTTCTCTTTTACACCAGGCGAAATGTACCCAGATCGATACCGGGAAGCAGCGACAAAGGTTGCGAAACATCTAGCACTGCGATAGTCAATTCCTTACAACGGAACAAGAGTTGGTCAACAGTTGCCTTTTACGGGTTAATGAAGAAGACAAAGGCTTATAATAAGCATAAATAAGTTTATATTTCATTAATATTATTGATTAACACTAAAATGACGTGGCGGACTTTAGTACAGCCAGTGGGTTAAATTTAAGTTACAATACTGTAGTTTTCATAATTGAAAGTAAAAACTAAGTCAACCTAGATAAAAGCTGAATCAGGCTAAGCGAACATAGTTTTACGATTTAAATAAAGTAAATCTAGTCTTACGGCTCTTTAATAAAGTTATATTCTTATTGTCCGATATTCGAAACGGCCTATACTTAATACTCTTTTAGATGAGGTTCTTTTGAAAGTAAGAAAGGTTACATAAGAAGAAATTCACTTTGATTTCATATTATTTTTTAAATAATTTTCACTTCATATTCAACTATAAAGGTTATAATGATAGCATGTGAGAATCTATCAAACCTGCTTGTCTGAATGTCGTTAAAAATACTCGTATCATGGATGAATGCCTATTTTTTTCTGAAACAACGATACCACACCATGGTTCTATATAACAAATAGGTGTTAAAATATCTTACATATCAATTCAAATCTATTGTGACAAATTATTCTTAATAATGAAATGTGATTAAAATATAAAAAGATGGCTTCCAATTATTATGGTTCCTATCATTTCTGTGGTGCAGCGAAAAGAATTCTGATTTTCGAAGAACTCAATTATTAATAACTTGAATGTTTTAAATGTTTTAATATGTCACTTATTTCATTATTTTTTTTTTAAATTCTTTCATTTTAAACATCAAAATTATATGTAAGTAAATATAACAGCTATCTTATAGTTTTATTATATATAGAAAATAATCAAAGTAGCGGCCGGCCAAGCGTCGTTATCAAATTTTTATTTCATCTAAATTTATTACAAAGAGTGTTTTTAAAATAAACAATTAATATAGTCGTCAAATTCATACGATTGTTATAAGCACAAATAAATCAAACAAACATATTTCAGCAATATTTTAGTACAATAAGTGGATAACAGTTAACAGTTGACACAAAACTGCTCTGTATACATACATTTTGTACTGTATTTTATCCAAACAAAACTCCTTAAGAAGCCTGACATTTGACGAACCTGCGTGCGTCAAAGGATCTCTATTTTGCTTTCACAGACTTGGCAATGACCGTCTGAGCCTAAATAAAGAGAATTCCATTATATTCTCCTTACTTTGTCGTGCCTTTGTGTCACGAACAATAGTGTCTATATATTATAATGCTAAAGAATACAGATTTACTTATCTAAAAAGTATGTTCATGAATCCAAACAAATAAACATGCTGCCAGTAGCATTGGTTTTATTTATTTACATGAAAATTAATAT